AGGGAGTTGGTGGGTGTTAAAAGAGAGGGGTCTCCCCTGTACATCACTCCAGTCCTTGATCGTTTCGAAATCGTCAAGAGGTTGTCTGCCTCAATAGGCTCAACGCACACGCGTATTGCTAGAGAGAGAGAGAGAGAGAGAAAGAGAGAGAAAGAGGCCTAGTATAGAGATAGTTGTTATTGGTTTACAGTGGGATTAAACAGGGGCTGTAGCGCGGCTTTTAAAACAATAATAATAATATTATTAATATAATAATCCTTGCATTTGGTATAGCGCCTTATCATATCGTCGCGGCGTCTCAGGTCTGTCCATGGGATATAGTGTCAAGTGGATTGACTGTGTTATGTTCGTGGAGTGAAACGTGGCAGCCAATTGCACACATATAAGTTTAGTTTAAGGGATAAAGATGAGTGGGGTGTTTTGGGGGTGGGGGTGGGGGGGGAAGGAGATTCACTCCCCACTCCCCTACCCCCTCCCCCCGCAAAAAAAAACTAGGATAAAATGCTGGGTCGGCAAGGCCAAATGAGTGTCTGGTTATTCATCTTGGGACATGGGCAAGCATATAACCGCGATTTGCCCTGGATTTGCCTTCTCTTTAAATGATAAATGGATAATAATCCTCGCGTTTAACATAACGCCTTATAACGTCTCCGAGGACGTCTCAAAGCGCTTCGCAGAATGCGCTGTCGAGCGAATTGACCGGACACTTCGTGAACGAAACGCGGCAGTCGATTCTCGCGCAGCGGAGTCCCCGCAAACAGCCGTGGATTCAGTGACCAAATTAGTCTTACGCTTTTTAAAAATAAGATAGATGGGTGGATCGATCGATCGATAGATAGATAGATAGATAGATAGATAGATAGATAGATAGATAGATAGATAGATAGATAGATAGATAGATAGATAGAAAACACGATAGATAGATAGATAGACAAATAGATAAATAGATAAATAGATACATAGATAGAGAGAAACGATTCAAGCCCCTATTTGGTTTAATGTGTGTCGTTGGTTCATTATAAAGTAGTCACGGCAGAGAGAGCACAATGGTGAAAAAAAAATCAGGTTTGTATTTATTTAGAGTTCTCGACTGGTTTCCAACAGGTCGATTCCGGCTCGGGCTGCCCTTTTTTTTCATGTACAAAACCACTCTGTGATGATACCTGAAAAAGTGCAAGCAAAACAACAAAAGGGGGTAGAAAAGGGGGTGAGAGAGCAGAGACAGACACCCGTCGTTATTGGATCAACTGTGACGAGAGAAAACAAAAACTGGGCACTAATTTTGTGTTCTTTGCACTCTTAACGGACAGACGTTAACGGGCGGGGTGTGGGGGTGGGTGGGGGGGGGGTGGGTGGGAGAGAGAGCACTTTTTTTATATAAAAAGCAAAATCGAAGAAACGTGGTCAGATTGAGAGGGTGTTGCTTGTGTTTTTGCTGTGTCTGTGCAGCCGCGCTCTCCTCCCCCACATCTCTCCCCCCTCTTAAGAGTGAAATACCCCCCTCTGTCACTCCCTATCTCTCTCTCTCTCTCCCCAACCTCTCTCTCTCTCTCTCTCCCCCCCATTTAATTTAGTTTAATTTCTCTTGTCTGTTTGTGGGCAATTGCAAACGTTTCATTTGCTCGGCAGTCTTTAGCTGTTGGCGAAACCATAATTCAGTCGCCGATAGTCACTCTTATAGTCATTTTACATTGAAGATCTGTCAATCCTTTTGTTTCTGCCCATTCTTCACCCCGGACGAGATGAATTTTCTGACGCGTTCCCGAACCCACTGTTTGTGTGTGTGTGGGGGGGGGGGGGGGTGGACGCTGCTGTGCGCAATTGGGCTGCCGCGTTTCGCCCACAAAATATACAGTCAATTCAGTTTACAGTATATTCTGCGTATATTATTTATAAGTGGGGGTGGTGTAGGGGAATAGTTTGGCGTGTCTAAATGCCCCCACCCCACCCCCACCCACCCCCGCCCCGAGGCAACTCCAATTGCGATTTAATGGAGTGGAATAATTCACCGAATGGCATAGAAATCCTCGCTTTACTTTTTTTTGTGATTATATCTACAAAGAAGTTTGGGGGTGGTGGGGTGGGGTGGGGGGGGGGGGGGGTGGGGGTGGGGAGAGAGAGAGAGAGAGAGTGTGTGTGTGTGATCACCTGTATGTAGCGTTGGGATCTGTGACTCATAGCATTTGTTAAAGAAAAATGGTGTAAGGATTATTATATATAACAATGCAAGGATTATTATTGTTGTCATTATTTGACTATATATATATTCAAATAATGACAACAATAATAATATCTATATATATATATATTTAACCAAACACAGAATTAGCTAATTTGCAGGGAACTTGTGTTTTTAGTGTTCACTGTTTGACATAAGGGGGGGGGTGGGGTTTCATGTTATTCCTTGATGTCATTTTAAAAAAGAACATTTTTTATCCTAAATATTGCTTGGATTTCTTGCACGTTTGCAAATGATCTGTGGTTCCCCACAGACAGAAAGACCCCATTCTGTATCTCCTCCTCTCTCCCTCCCCTTTTAATATAACGGTATCAAAGCAATTAAAAAAAAATCCATCTATTCCTCCTCCCCCACCACCACCACACCCCCCCCCAAAAAAAATAATGGACAAAAGTTCCCAAACTTTTTCCTTGAATGATTTGTCCCCCATCACCGATCGATCGTCTGATGAGGGACGAGGAATGAATGAAACTTTAATGCAAAAACACGATGGAAGATCACTGTGTAGTTTTTTTGTTGAAAAAAAACCCCTAAAATGACCCCAAAAATACCAAATTGTCCAGAAATGTGTCTTTTCATACATTCTCTAAAGGTAGAATTTTTTTCTCTCCCTCTCTACAATTTTTTTTGGTGGTGGGGGGGGGGGGTGGGGGGGGGGGGAGGGTGGGGGTGGGGTGGAGGGTGGGGGGGGTGCAGTGGGGGGGTCAAAAAAAAACCTTTTAATCGCGGAAACTTAATGATGGACAAGAGATGAAGTGAGCCAATAGCTTTGGTCGGTTGTCCCTGAGATCAATGGGGTTGGGTGTGGGTTTGAGTGAGTGACTGCCTCTCAATGAAGGGGTGGAGGGGGGAGTGATGATGGAGTGGGTGGGTGGGTGGGGGGGTGGGAGGGGCATCTGGAATCCCCTCCCCCTTTTTTTTTGTCGGCGACAATGTAACCATCCATCAGCCAATGGGGTGGATTGGTGGGCGGGGCCGCGTTGGGGTTGGGTACCAGTGGTTGGGTTGGTCGGTCGGTTGGACCAATGGCTTTGGGATGGGGAGGGCGAGAGGATGGGAGGGAGGGGCTCCGGTTGACTTGCTCAAGGGCTCCGGGGCTCGAAGGGGGAGGGAGGGATGGTGTGTGTGTGTGTGGGGGGTTTTTTTTTGGGGGGGGGGTTTGTCTGTGGGTATTGAGTCCTGTGGCGTCAGTCATCCGCCCATTCAGATGCGAGAGAGAGAGAGAGAAAGAGTAGAGGAGAGGAGAGAGAGAGAAAGAGTAGATGAGAGGAGAGAGAGAGAGAAAGAGTAGAGGAGAGAGAGAGAGTGAGAGAGAGAGAGAGAGAGAGAATGCTTTCACTGCGTGGAAAAAACACTGGGACGTAACGCAGTCTAATCGGTTGGAGTCAAACGAGTGACAACACAGTCACTCACTCACTCACACACTCACTCCGCGTCTGTGTGTCTGTGTGTGTGTGTGTGTGTGTGTCTCTCTCTCTCACTCTCTCTCCGGTAAAAAGAAAGGAGAGAAAGAGGGATGAAAGGATAAAAAAAAAAGAAACCACACACACAAAACCCCCCAAAAAACAGGTTTGTTTCTCTTTTCTTTGCATTTTTTTTAAAAAATTTTTTTATATGGGTTTGGGATGGGTTTAGAACACTAGAATGACCCGGGAGGGGTGGGAGGGGTGGTGGGGGGGGTGTGGGGAGGGGGGTGTGGGGGGTTTTGTTGCGCGATGTTTTTAAAATCTGAAATAAGTGTTTTTTTTTGGATTTAAAAAGCAATGGATACAGAGAGAATACCGAAATAAAACCGAATTCGTGTCGATCGCTTCTCGATGTTGTTGCTGTTCACAGTCACTTTTTTTTTTGTACGTGTCAGAAGTAAAGTGTTTTTCGTCGATGTGAACCTCTTTTTTTTTTGGTGGGAGGGGAGGGGGTGTTTTTTGCCTAAAAGGTAAAGGCGACTCCCAATTGCTGTGTAAGGTGTCTTTTTTTTTAACCCCATTATTATTATTATTATTATTATTATTATTATAAGGACAGCGAAAGAATAGTTGGTCCAAAGTTGGTTCTGTAGTTTTTACTGAATTGATAGATTTGAGGTCGAGAGAGAGAGAGAAAGAAAGAGAGAGAGAGAGAGTGGTGTGAGTGTGTTTTTCTATGGGGAGAGGGAATTAAATCCCAATTCTTAGGGGTTTAATACTATTTAAGAGCTGTGGTTGTTCTGTAGTTGTGTGTGTGTGTGAGTGTGAGTGTGAGAGAGGTTCCAGTTTCCATGTAAATATTTTTTAAAAAATGTATCTCACGTATATGTATATATATGTATATATAAAACAAAGATATTTTTCTTTAATGAGTCTGGTATTGAACTCTCTTTATTGCTCTGAATTCAACTTGTGCTTAAAAGAGGCGGCTGTCAGGTATTTGGTGTGTTAGTAACCTTAACTTTTTTTTTCTCTCTCTCCTCTCTTTCTCTCTTTATCTTTGTCTGTTCTCACCTAAACCTTACCCCAACTTCTCTTCCCTCCTTCCCTCCTTCCTTCCCTCCCTCTCTCTCTCTCTTCCCAATCTCCTTCCTCGCAGGTGGATGAGAAAAAAAACAATCCTAGAAGACTCATCACTTTGTGGATTTTTGGTATTTTTCCCACTCCACCCCACCCCCTTTTTACCTATAAATAACATTTTTTTTGTTTAACAAAAAGACCACAAACTTGGGGAACTTTTATATATATTTTTTTTAAAAAAGTTTTTTTGGGGGCTGAGTTGTCCCAAAGTTTTTCCCCCCCCCCCCCCACCTGCTTTTTTTTTTAATTTAAAAAAATAACCCAAACAAGTTCTCTGCGAAGCCATGGAAGTGGATCAGCCGCGTTGGATGACACATCACCATCCAGCGGTGTTAAATGGACAGCACCCGGATTCTCACCATCCCGGGCTCAGCCATGGCTATGTGGACTCCTCGCCCTATCTCCCGTCCGAAGAAGTGGATGTACTGTTCAACATCGACAGCCAAGGCAACCACGTCTCGTCTTATTATGGCAACTCGGTCAGAGCCGCCGTTCAGAGATATCCACCGCCACATCACGGTAAGTGCAGCCGGTGGTTCCCAGATGATCGGAGGGACGGGTGGATCGGTAGAGAGAGAGAGAGAGAGAGAGAGATAGCTGGACGTAGAGAGGGAGAAAGAAGTAGAGAAAGAGAGACGCACACACGCACACACAGGGGGAGAGAGACTATCACATACACACACAGATACACATGTAAAGAGAAACACACACACACAGATAGATAGATAAATAGATAGAAACACACACAGAGAGATAGATAAATAGATAGAATCTTGTCCTTTGCCACCTCCCTCTCCATTTTTAATAAGAATAATAATAATCCTTGCATTTGATATAGCGCCTTCTCACGTCTCCGAGATGTCTCAAAGTGCTTCACAGGATATACTGTAAAGTGAATTGACCGTATATTTTGTGGGCAAAACACCCCGCCCCACCCGTTGAAATGTGTTGGAAAAAAAAACTTAAATGTTATTGTCCGGAAAGCTAGAGTAGCGAGAGGAAAGGAGGTTACTTTTGGTTTGTGAAGCATAGAATTGATAGCAGCGCATGTTACTTTAAAGATATAAATTTGTCTCCGGCCGCTTATCTGTACTGCCTAAGGTCTTTTTTTGTCATGTGGATTTCACAAATCATCAGAAATCGACATAAAAGAGGGGGAAGGAGGGGAGGCAAAGCGAAAAAAAAAAGCCATTTTAGTTTGAGATGTGCTTTTTCACGTGTACGCCTGTGCGAACCTTTTAACCATACTGTGGTTTGCAAAAAAAATTCCAATTTATATATACACACATATATATATATATACTGTGCCCTTTGGAGTGCTTACTCTTAAAAGAGTCGAGTTACAGGCTGATGCATACATGTATATTGTTTCTTCACCCCAACCCCCACCTGTGTGTGTGCGTGTGTGTATGTGTGTGTGGTTGTTTACAGCAAAGTGTGGGCATTCATCTTGCAACCTGTTGAGTACTCTTGGTTCGAAGGTATCAGTCGCTTTTGCTTGTGTGTGTATGTGTGTGTGTGTGTGTGCGCGCGCGAGTGTGTGTGCGTCCGTGTGTTTGTGTGTGTGAGACAGGTTTAGTAGGTGAGCGAACGAGTGATCACATTTTATAAACTTGTATAAACATATGCTCATTTTCTTCTCTCTCAACCACTTTCGCAACACACACGGCGGGCACATATATATATTATATATATCTATACGGTGCAAACATTTCTTTGCATTGACTATATATATATATATATGCTGTGTGTAATAATAATAAATAATAATCCTTGTTGAGACGTCTCAAAGTGCTTTCTATTAAGGCATAAAAAATGGGACATGAGAATGTTTTTGAATTTCCTACCTGGTTCTGCTTTGATTTGAACCTCTCCCAATTGAGCAAATTCATTGCTGTCATATGCTGTAAGATATATTTTATTGATCGCTAGAGCTAGGGTAAAGGGTCGATGAAGTCCTCTCCACTTGGGGGCGTTTGGTAACTGACCACAACAATTTCCACTCTTCTCTGTTAATGTCTAAATGTCCAAACCAAAATTGAAACAGCTTTTGGCATTAATAATATAATAATACTAATCAATCATAATAGGCATTTTGATAGAGCGCTTTTCACGTCAGACAGGCATCTCGTAGCGTTTCGCAGGATTTTACTGTAAAGTGTAGTGACTGTGTATTTTGAAAAGTAACGCAAAATGTGCCTTCACTGAAGGCAAATTCCCTTTAGTGAAGGCACCAGAGGGAGATGGTGTGCAATGTGTTATCACGGGCAAAGTCTGACCCAAATCGCTCAACGAAAGCAGGACAGGCAGTCAGAGATAGAGGGAGAACTTGATTTTAAGGCTGCGCATCACTTGCTTAGGTATCGGTAGGGCTAATTAGTTTCGTGTGTCAGTGGGATTCGAATTGGGGGAAATGGGAAGGGTAAAATTGTAGCCATATGATAAGAATGTTTCTTATATGGGAGGCTTCATTGCACATATCTTTTGAGTATATTATTTGGCTCACAAAATACACAATCAATCCACTTTGCAACATAATCTGTGAAACGCTTTGAGACGTCTCAACGACGTGATGAGGCGTTGTATCAAATGCGAGGATTATAATTATTATTATTACTACTATTATTATTATTATATTAAATCCTCGCTTTTATGTTGTTTTCCCAGGGAGTCAGGTCTGCCGTCCTCCCTTGCTTCACAGCTCCCTGTCCTGGATAGATGGAGGCAAGGCTCTTGCCTCCCACCACAATGCTTCGCCATGGAATCTGAGTGCTTTCAGCAAGGCCCCCCTTCACCACGGCTCCCCGGGGGCTCTTTCAGTCTACCCTCCATCCTCCTCCTCGTCCCTCTCCACAGGACATTCCAGCCCCCACCTGTTCACCTTCCCCCCGACCCCACCCAAGGATGTCTCCCCCGACCCTAACATCTCCGGTGCTGGATCCAACGGCTCGGGCCGACAGGAGGACAAGGAGTGCGTGAAATATCTGACCGAGGGAATGAAACTGGAGACATCCTCTCACCTGAGAGGCAGCATGGGATCACTAGGAGGAGGTGCGAGCTCGGCACATCACCCCCTGGCTTCTTACCCGCCTTACGTCTCAGAGTATGGCGCTGGGCTGTTCCCCCCTGGCAGTCTGTTGGGTGCGTCTCCCCCAGGCTTCCCGTCGAAAGCAAGACCCAAGGCCCGCTCCAGCACAGGTAAGTTTTATTCCTTAACATTTTTTTTTTCTGTACTGTATTGCCGAGCGAGGCGATAACTGCCACAAATGGTACATACGCAGCACCTTTCGCGTCGGGAGGACGTCCCAAGGCGCTGGGCAATCAGGGATTTGGACCTGAGCTGGGTGGGTGGGGCGGCGGGGGGGGCGGGAGGGCGATTGGGATCAGGAGGGGTAGAGTGCAGGGAGGGTAGGGGTTAGGAGAGTGACCAAAGGCACGGTCGAAGAGGAAGGTCTTGGAAGTAAGCAAGGGAAGGAGCGAGCAAGTCAAAGGGACTGTGGGATGATTCAAGATAACCTGCTGGTCACTTTTAACACTGAGGCAATCATGGTACAATTGAAACACACATACACTTTGAAACATCTCATCGGGTATCTGTGAATCACTGTTAGCCCTCGGAATTAAAGGGATGGGGGGGGAAGGAAGAGATATGTGCCTCTTATTAACATGCTCAAAGGGAACTCAACAGTTGGTTACAACTGTCACTAAATGCTGATTCGAGAGATTTTCGTTAGTTAGCTACTATTTGTAACCAGATCACTTTTGCTATGACACAGCCCAAACATGCGGTAACCCACTTTTCAGTGTATTGGGAGACTTCTACGAAGCTGTTAGATGTATGGGTCGGGTGGGGGTGAGCTGTTTTAAGTCCAAAGGGGGTGGGGTGGGGGTGGTGATATAGATCTAAGACCAAATGCAATTCATGTTTTAATAAACATACATAGCAATCAACAGGGATTACTGACCAGCATGTGTGTGATTCAACACTGCAAAGCCAGAGCTGGCTTGGTAGTCATATAAAAGTGGGGCAGAACATACAGGGAGATCAAATGCCAACGTACCCACATATACACCCCCCCCCCTCCCACCCACAACTAGCAATGAGCAAGTGACTGTGGAATGCAATAATAGAGCCTTTCTAATGCTTTTGAAATTAACAGTAATCATCCTTGCATTTGATATAGTGCCTTATCACGTCTTTGGGACGCCTCAAAAAAGTCACAGACTATACTGTAAAGTGAATTGACTGTATATTTTGTGGGTGATAATGATGGAGCCATGTAAAAGTCAACAAGGCCTGTTGTGATCTTACATGCGCGCGCACACACACACATACACACTCAAAGATGATAACTTCAAACCTAAACTGACTTAGGAGCTAGCTAGGGGCCAGTTATAGCTTAATGCCAAACTATCCCCCATTTCTTGTAGGGTTACTGCAACCCTCCGCAGTTTAATGCCTAGTCATCAACTGCCCTATAACCGTTGCATTTGATATAGCACCTTATCACGTCGTTGAGACGTCCCAAAGAAACAGAGAAAGAGATACTGACACACACACACAAAGATAGACACACATGTAATAATAATAATCCTTGCATTTGATATAGCGCTTTTCACGTCTTCGAGACGTCTCAAAGCTCTTCACAGAATATACTGTAAAGTGAATTGACTGTGCATTTTGAGCGTGAAATAGTGTTGTCCAGGAAAAGGGTGCAGGGAATACGAATTTTGTGACAACTTGTCATTGAAGTAGTTTTTTTTTTGGGGTGGGGTGGGGAGGGGGGAATTAAAAAAAACTTGGAAGTGCCATTGTAAATGCATTATGAATGATAATAATAATAATGATAGCAATCCTTGCATTTGATACAGCGCCTTATCGCACGGTTGAGACGTCTCAAAGCGCTTGCAAAGTGGATTGACTGTATATTTTGTGGTGGGGTGATGGGTTGGGGGGAGGGGGAGAGAGGAATTAAGTGCAATTGTAATGCATTGGGGAGGAAGATCTTTTTCACTCCCCCCCCCCCCCCCCCTCTCTCTCTCTCTCTCTCTCTCTCTCTCTCTGTGTCTTTCTCCCCCTGGTCTCTCTCCCCTTGATCCAGACCTGTTTTGTAGAGAGCTCTATCGGCTGTTAATGGGGGATTGAGTGAGTGAGTGAGTAAGAGAGAGAGACAGAGAGAAACTGCCATAACCAGTCTGACTAACTGACTCTGACTCTTTATGAGTCTCTCTACAGTCGTGCTAGTTAATCCAATTATTTGCAGACTGATGCTCTTGTCAATGGCATTGTTTATCTATCTGGAGCCCATGAAACTTTTTTTCTCTCTCTGCGTGTGTGTGTGTAAAAAAAAGAGAGTCCGGATATGCTGCGATGGTTAAGAGACAGGACAATTTTTTTTTGCAGAGCAGTCAAAAGAGGAAGAGAGAGAGAGAGAGAGAGAAACTGCAGGTCTGTGCAAAATGCAAGTAGTGCATATTTGCCCACAAATATACAGTCAATTCACTTTACTGTGTGTTCTGTGAAGCGCTTTGGGACGTCCTCCCGACGTGAAAAGCGCTATATCAAATGCAAGGATTATTATTATTAGTGCAATCATTCAGTCAGTGACTGACTGAACTGACTGACTGATACAGACTCTCCAACTATCACTGAAAAAGCTATCAAACAAGGGACCCATGTGCACTCTCTAATTAGAGACAGATCCAAGCCACCCAGCTCCACAGACACACACACACATTAACATCCCAATGGTTAGATATGTCAAGTCACACAAGTCACTTCCCCATACGTAGCCTTGGCCCAACAACAAAAAATATACAAGTGATAATTGTTGGCTCTTTTATTTATTTTTTTGCAAGTCGATTTCCCCCTCAAACCTCTTTTCACCTTCTCTCAATCTCTCTCTCCCCCTATTCTCTCTCTCCTTTCCTCTCCTGTTGTGAAAATTAAAGTCTGCAAACACACAAGATTCTGTGTCTCAAAAGCAAGTGATATTTTTCTGTCCTTTTCTTTTTGTCCTCCACCCCCATCCCATCCCTGCCACCTCGGTTGCTTTCTCTCTCTCTCTCTCTCTCTCTCTCTCTCTTTCTGTCTCCAATCTCTTTTCATTTCGTCTTTCTCTTTCTTTTTCTCTCTCCCCCTCCCAGTTGTGTGCTCCAAAATGAGCTTTGCAACACAGACAGACTTTTAGACACATACCACACACACCACTCACACACAGACACACACGATTTCTGTGCCTTAATAAAAAGCAAGTGTTATTTTTCTGCCCTTTTGTGCACCTCGATTACTCTCCCAAATCTCCTCTCCCCCCCTCCCCTCCCCTCTCACACACTCTCTCTCTGGTTGTGAAAATTAAGTTTGCAAACACACACACAATTCTGTATCGAACATATCCCGTCTGTCCGGACTGTTTTTTAATGCATAGTGTTGAGACAGTAGCGGAATTAATAGCTGTTTATATAGTACAAATCCATCAGATTTCCCTCTCTCTCACTCACTCATTCATTCTCTCCCTCTTTTTCTCTCTGGGGAAGAGGGGGGATTTATTGAAACTGACTTTAAAAGTTTTTCCACCGTGTTTTTTTTATATATATATACCGTTTTATGTGACTAATAAGACTTGGAAGTGTGAGTTAATACACATTCCCTGGGAAACAATGCATCAGAAATAGGTTAATTGCACCCTTCATTTCACTACTGTTTATATATATACACATATATAAATTATATATCATTTCGCCCACAAAATATACAGTCAGTTCACCTGTGAAGTATTTTCTGTGAAGCGCTTTGAGACGTCTCAACAACGTTGTATGAAACAAATACAAGTGTTTATTATTATATATTTAGTAGAAGATCTTTTTATGTCTGAGCGATAGATATTTGCGGTTTGCGAGAACCCATGAATTTACGCAACATATAATCTTGCCTCTTCCCCTTTTTTTTTTCTTTTTTCCTCAAAAGTCCTGTTTAATATTCTCTCTCTCTCTCTCTCTCTCTTTGAGATTAAAAAAAAATGCACGTGAAAATGCAGCGGGTGAAAAAAAAAACCAGGGGCAAAGAGACTTGTGTTAAACGTCAGTTTAAAAAAAAGTTTTGTTATTTTAAGTGGTGAAAATGTGTAGCTTGCAAGTTTTGGAAAAAGAAACGGTTTGAGTTTTGCGGTTTAGAGGGTGCGGATGCTATTTTTTTTGCTTTCAAAAGTACTTGTTCATTTTCTCTCTTGTCTCTCTCTCTCTCTCTCTCTCTCTCTCTCTCTGTGTGCGCGCGCGCGAGTGTGTGTGTGTCTCTATCTCTCTCTCTCTCTCCGTGTGTGCGTGTGTTCTGATTGCAAATTTCTCGGCAGTTTTAACTCTTAAAAGTGGCTGGCAGGATTGACAAATAAACTGGGTCGAGGAAAGTTGTTGCTTAAGATCTGCAACTCGTGTGTTACAACGACAGGCGATTAAAAAAAAAAACCAGTGACCTCATGTGATACTGTACTGTGCAAATGTGTTCAACTGTGCGGTTATTACCGCTTTCCTATGCGCCAAACTACATATCAAAACTTGTTATTGGACGAGGGGGATCTTTCTAATCTTTCTTGTGAAGGATTGACCCAAAACTGCCTTGTTTATTACTCCACCCCCCCACCCCCGACCCCCCACCACAATAATAATAATAATAATAATAATAATAATCCTTGCATTTGACACAGCGCCTTATCACGTCTTCCAGACGTCTCAAAGCGCTCCACGGAATATACTGTGAAGTGAATCGACTGAATGTTTGGTGGGTGATTGCTTAAAAACTGCCGCATTCGTAAACCCAACTTTTATTATAAATTTTTCGATAGTGATTTAAAATTGTGTGTGTGTGGGTGCGTGCGTGTGTGTGTGTTTTTTTGCCTTGGCTGCCCTCTTAATGGGGAGAGGGATATTGTGTGTGTGTGTGTGCGTGTGTGAGAGAGAGAAGTGGTGGGGTGGTGGGGGGGGGGGGGGTTGCGGTTATCTACCTTGATTCAATTCAGATCTATCATTGATTTACTTGCAAAAGGCAAACAAATTGTGAATTTCAAGAAGGACACAACAGCTCCACTAATCAGTAAAGTTTAGATCAAATAATAACGATAATAATAATCATCCTTGCATTTGATATAGCACTTTATCACGTCTTTGAGACGTCTCAAACCGCCTCACAGGATATCGTAGAATCAGAAAATTACACAGCACAGAAGGAGGCCATTCGGCCCATCATGTCTGTGACGGCTCTTTGGAAAGAGCCATCCAAATCAATCCCACTCCCCCCCCGCTCTCTCCCCCGCCCTCTCCCCACTTGTCCTCCCCAACTGTAAAGTGAAGTGACTGTGTATTTTGTGGGCGAAACGCGGCAGCCAATCGCACACAGCGGCGTCCCCACAAACAGTCGTGGATTGAGTGACCAAATTAATATTTTTAATTGTTTTAATATATATTTTTGAAGGGGATTATTATTATGCATTATCTTCTTTTTAGAATAAAAAAATTACAAACGTCTTTATAAAAAAAAATCTTAATTTTTCACCCACAAGATACACAGTCGATCCACTTTGCAGTATATTCTGCGAAGGGCTTTTGAGACGTCTTGAAGACGTGATAAGGTGCTGTATCGAATGCAAGGATTATTATTAGTTACACAAGAAAGTCCCGATGAATTAATGAATGAATTAATTAAGACTGAGCCTTGTTGCTCAAACTGGGATGGGAAATACAATTTGAGCAATGAATGCATTGACCGTTCCCCCTTCTGTTTTTTCAGGGGATCGGGAAAAAATACCTCGGGACTGTAAATTGCACCATTTGGAGGTTGACCGAGCAAGCTGTAGTGAGCTGGGCATTTGTTCATTCGACATTTTAATAGGTGTGCAAAAATAAACCCTTTTAATGTAGATCAGTCCAGCTGTGTTGTTAGCGTGAGATTTGTCAACGCTTCTCTGGCTGGAATGGCTAGGAAGCAGATGATACCATTCAGCGATGCAGATATATTTTGTTTTGCTAGACTTGCAACGGTGATGACTACGTTTTGTGTAGAAATTAGCATTTGATTTACACCCCCACCCCCACACACACACACTTTTTTTTGTCTTCTCTAGAGTTTCCCTGGCCTTACGATTGATTGAGACCTGTAACTTTGTATATGTGTATGTGTGTATGTGAATGTGTGTATATATATGTATTTGTGTGTGCATTTGCCTCAATTCACCTGTTTTTAGTAGTCTTTTATTTACTGGATTAACGTCGACTGTTATTTTTGTTGTGTTTTTTTTTGGGGGGGGGCTCGAGAAAAGAAATCCACCTTAAACATTCAGAAGGTGCGAAATATATATATATATATATGCCTTTTTTAAAAAAAAAGGCTTCCGTGTGCATTCAGTGGCGTAATTTTTTTTTTGCTCATTTTAAACTGGTCTGTTCCACCTCCCAATAAACCTGACGCAACAAGGGTAGCATAACATGCACTTAACCTAATGCAATCGTTTGCTTGCAAATATTTGCTTTCCTTTCTATAAAAGAAGAGGGGGGGTGGGGGGTGAATTGCAACACGCTTTATTGTACTTTAATCTTTTCAGTGGCGCCACTTACATTATACAGAAATCAAATAAAAGGGACAATATGACAATGAACGCGATTCTCCTGACAAACAGACTGCCAGAGAGACTTTTTTTTTACTGCATGCGAAAAAAGGCTGGTGCATCGCAAAGATAAAAACGAAAAGTAAACCCGAAACAGGAGCCCAGACACACTGGCTTGGGATGAGAGAGAGTGTGTGTGTGTGTATGTGTTTGTGTGTGAGGAGTGCATACCTTAACATAGCCAAGGAAATTCAGAATAAAACGCACAAGGACATCCTAAAATTTTATTGCTTGTGCTGCAAGGTGTTTTTTATGCAATGCTCACTGCCCTCTCTATCTCTATTTATCTCTCTCTCTCTCTGTCTCTCTCTCTCCCTCCTTTCTTCCTTCCCCCCCCACCCCCCACACACCTAACCTAACACACACACACACACTCATTACAACTCCTCTCGGCGTAATATTTCAGGAATAGCGTTCAAAATACAATCCTACACATTTTTTTTCTGCGTGCTTACGTGCACTCATTGAGCAAACACCCGCCTGCAGCTAAAATCAGCACTTTTTACTCTGCATTTAATACAAAACTTGGGGCTTTCAGACCCCAGTTTTAACCTGAGAGGCATTATATACATATAGGTATATATATATTTATATATAAAGTGCCTCTTTTGAGGTTGAATTCCAATAACAACTGCATTTAGACTCGTTTAATTATAAGGACACACACATATATATATATTACCTTTTGTATGATCAATTTTGGGAGCATAACACTTATATTCCCATATTATATTCTATATATGTGTATATAAAGTCAGGTGTCTTAACACATACACAAACCCTGTTTAATTAATTAAGAGCATCCAAACCAAACTTGAGAATTGCCTGCATTTCACCTCCACACACCACATACATTGGGGGGGGGAAATCCTAGAGAGAGAGAGAGATTATAATCCAATTATATTTGAATAATTCTATTCCCAATTTACAAATTGCCAAGTCCCCTTTGCGCGACGATGCCTAAGTTCTGTCAGCCTGAGTGTGTGAGTGTGTGTGTGTGTTTTTAATATATTTTTTCGTAGAAAAAAAAGCAACGTTTTAATATATAGAAAAGCGACAAAAGGTAACTGTTGTGTGATTTTGTTTCAGAAGGTCGTGAATGTGTGAACTGTGGAGCCACTTCTACTCCACTGTGGAGAAGAGATGGGACAGGACATTATCTGTGCAATGCCTGTGGTCTGTACCACAAAATGAATGGGCAGAACCGACCACTCATTAAACCCAAGAGGAGATTGGTAAGTGAGCAAAAAGGGGGGGAGAGGAAATAGAAATACATGGATCAAACAAGAGAGCCCTTTCATTTCCTGGTCTTGAGTAACATCTTTCTGTGTGTATATGTGTGTGTGTGTCTGTGTTTCTCACCATCAGCCCTGAATTTGACCTGACATAACACACACACACACACACACCTCTGGCTCAATGTGATGCATCCAAATGCTTCTACTTTTATAATAATATGAATTATTATCATTACGAATCATTCACCCCGGGGTGCAATTCTCTCGGAATTGAGAGGATAGACAGAGTGGAATGGGGAGAAAGGTGGCGAGAGGGAGAGGGAGCAGAGGGAGAGGGGGGTTAGAGATAATAAGAATTACTATTATTATATCTTTTGTAGTCCTTTAGTCGTGGGTAAGAGGGAAAGTCAGACTTTTTTTAATATACACAATGAACAAAATAATATTTAAATTTCAACCTGGATCTCAAATGAACCCCAAACAAATCTCACTCCATTTCTTATGACCAGTCAGTCAGTCAGTCAGTCAGTCAATAAGTTCCTTATCTACAGAGAAAGTGACTTTTTTTTTAACCCCAAATCTCATTTTGTTAATTTGCCTCACGCGGAAAATACACATAGAAATTGACGTCTATTTTTTTGTGTGTGTGTGTGTTTTTGTGCGTTTTGAATGCAGTACAAATAATTCTCGTTTCGAAAAATATCTTCAGTTAATTCATTTAAAGGGATTCGTTTTTGACAACACACACCTCTGAGATCAGGTCAAACGCTTTGTATTTTTACATCTGTATTTTGATCACTAGGAATTATTCACAGGGTGTGCAATTCTCTGGAAAGGGAGAGGAGAGGGAGGGGAAAAGAGAGAGAGAGTGGGGGAGAGAGACAGAAAGGGGAGAGAGAAAAGGGGGGTGGGGGGAGCAAGAGAAAGACAGGAGGGAGAGAAGGGAAGAGAGACGGAAGGAGAAAGAGAGGGAGGGAGGGTGGAGAGTGGAGTGGAGTGAGAGAGAAAAGGGGAAAGGAGATTAAACTAAAAAGGGGAGAGAAAAGGTGGGTGGGGGGGGGGAGCTTGTGCTCTTTTTTTTGCTGGATGGGTGGAAACCAAAGGCAGTTAAATATAAACGTGTGAATTGCACCAGTGACTGAGTGACTTGACTTGAGTTGGTGGTGTTGGGTTGTTGGAGGGGGAGAGAGAGGGGAGAGAGGGAGGGAGGGAGGAAGGAGAAAGCCTTTACCCTCCAGTTAACATGTGGATTGCAGCGAACGAGACTCCTTAATGGGTTTCCAGTCTTTCAGAGCCTCGTTAGAGCATTGGTGTGTAGACAGACTTTGGAGGCAGAGGGAGAGTGATGGAAAGTCATGTGTGCAATTGGAATTTTTGGCCTGGCAACCCCTCTCTCTCTCTCTCTCTCTCTCTTAACCTTCCTTTTTTTTCCACACACACACACACACATACACTCACTTTGTTTTTTTTTCCTTTCTCTCTAATGTCAAAAGCCAATTTCCTACATTAAAAAAAAGGGGAGACCGGATATCTGTCTTGTCTAGATAACCGACTACTTTCTTTACAACCCAATTTCCCTCCCCCCCCCCTCTCTCTCTCTCTCTCTCTCTCACATACACACGCTCTCTCACACTCTCTCTCTCTCTTCTACCCCCTCCTCTATCCCCCTCCCCAAATACAAAGCTTTTTGAACCATTAATTGGGACCGTTTATGTGTGTGTGTGTGTTTGAGACTATTTAAGATTCTTGTAGTAAAGAGATTTTTGGTGAGAGTTCAGGCACAATTGGCTTGACAAATATATTTATTTTAATCATCAGCAAACAGCGCACCATGCATCGTTCCTTTTAAGTAAAATCTTTTTAAAAGTTCCATTTTAATTAAATCAACATTTCCCTTCAATTATAAAGAATTGTTTTGCTTCCATTCTGGCGTCTAAATAATGACTAAAACTCCCAACTAAACTTCCTCACTGAATGTGGCCCTTTGATACTTGGGGAAAGAGTGGATTCCGCAGTTATAAAGTAAACGGATTTCAAACTCCCCATTTTATTTTCAAACAAGTCTTTTAAAAAAAAAACCTTTGCCCTTGGGTTAAACTCCTGTACATTTCAATTTAAGGTGCGATCCTATTTTGTGATCAGGCCAAGACAAATTAATCGTTCCTTTTTATTTCAACGTCAAATTTCGTCAAACAGTTTTCCTAAAAGAGAGAGATTTTTGTTTCCCTCTTAACCGGCCAAGGAAAATGGGAGAAAAAAACACATTGTAGGTTTAACAGGGGGGTGTTTTGTTTTATATATAAAAAAAACACATTTTTTTTAATTAAGAGAGAATTGGGGCTGGGGGGGGGGGAGAGAGAGAGTGTGGGGGGGTAGGGGGAGATGGAGGGAAAGAGTGGGGAGAGTTAGAGAGAGGAGGAGGGAGAGCGAGAGAGGTAAAGATTCTTTTTAAAAGAGAAAAAAAAAAATCAAAAATTGCATTATCCGCACTCAAATCTTTGAAACACACCCGACTGAGGGTTTTTAGCGAATCACATGGAGATCTGAAGGAGCCTGGGTTACTTCGGTGTCTCTCGTGTGTGCGAATTGTAATTCGCATGAAAGATCAAAGTCAAAATGTCTTTTTTATGTGTTGTGCTGTTGTGCAACTTTTTTTTAAAAGAAGCTTGATATTTCTGGCACCGCGTCAATGGCTCAGCGGTATATAAAAGTCGTCTTTACAACCTGTTAAACTCTTTTATCTGTAACCAGGGATAATATCGGTGGGAGTTACAGAGGTCAGAACTGGACAGTTGGAGCAAATTAGCTCTAATTACCGCTTACAAAGGCGCACACACACACACACACACCGTTTATCCACAAGTCAGCATTGCTTGTTGACAGAGAAGGGGGGGGGGGGGGAGAGAGAAAAGGGGGAAGGAGAGAGTGGGGTGGGGAAGGGGGAAGAGAGAAGAGAAGAGAGAGAGAGATGGAAGAGAAAGGCGAGACAGAACCTTAGCAAGTCTTTAACTTGCTGCTTGGAAATAAAGTTATTGTTATTTATTGATAATGAATAATATTTTTCAAAGGGGGCGGTAAACACTTGGTATTAACTTGATCTGTTATTAGAGAGTAATATCTGTCTGGTCCAGATAGCTTTGTTTTCACAACCCATTCCCCTTCAGACACACACACATACAAACACACACTCTTTCCCCCCCACCCCCCACCACCACCATACAAAGACGTTTAAGCATTAAACATAAACGGGAAGGTGACCAAAACGTTGTGATAACCTATTATCTAAAAAAAAACTACCCTATCATCCTTAAAACTTATTAAACCCTGTAATGGTATCGAGACTTTTCGGGCACCCCTGTAAGTGTGTGCGTTGGGGACCGTTTAATGTAATATAAACGGGAAATTAGTTAATGAGTTGGTGAATTAATTAATTAGGTAAGTAAGTTAGGAAGATAGTCAGTCGATGGCTTTAGATTGACTGAAGGGTGTTGTGTTGGGTATTGGTGGGTCAAGTTTTGGGTGTCGATTGAGACAACATACAATAATGCTCTATGTTACAGTACAACCGACCTCTCTTATTCATTCATCTCTCTCACACTCACCCTCTCTCTCTCTTTCTCTCTGTCTCTTGTTTTTTGGTTTGGCTTCTGCAGTCTGCTGCCAGGCGAGCGGGCACATCATGTGCTAACTGCCAAACGACCACCACCACATTGTGGAGAAGGAATGCCAATGGGGACCCTGTGTGCAACGCGTGTGGATTGTATTACAAACTACACAACGTGAGTTTTTTTTTCCTTTTTATTTATACGGTATCTGCAGCAGAGTAGCTGACGCATTGCACCGCACTGCACCCCCTCACCTAACCAATAAGGTAGAGCAGGCAAGTCATAATAGCCCTCGTTTTGGCAGGGAAACGCACTTAATAAATATATATATATCTCACACGTGAACCAGCCTTTTGGGGGTTTTCTTTTTGCTGCTTAATATCAATTTTTTTAAAATAAGAATAAAGTTTTTTTAAAAAAAATACATTTCAAAAATTTTGAAAAGAGGTTAAATTGATAAATGAAAGTTTTTCCAATGGGGAAAAAAATACAATGCAAATAGAATAGAAGATAAGATTGTTTAAATCGATACGATTTATATTTAAATCTAAATACCGTCGTTAAAAATTATTTATTCATATTTTTATTTCAATTTTTTTTTAAATGTGTTTAAACTTCTCCAAATGTACATTATTTAAAATGAAATATTTGTAACCACTGTATTTAGCCCTTAAGAGTGTGTTGGTGTCTGTGGGAATGGAGGCAATAATTCTGTGTGGGGGGGCACCTGTGTTGCAAAAAATAAATCCCCCCAACTCCCTCCCGTTAGAATTTATATGCAGTATATCAAAAAAAAACACTGAAATGTGAGCGGTTTAATTCAGTTGCAAATGGGATCCTGTGTTGAGCAAAGCTGAGGCGTTCAAATCGACACGAAATTGACTTGTGTGTGTGTTTTTTTAAAAAAAAAGTTCCCAACGCTGATCATAATTTGGTACTTTGGTTTAAAAAGTACGGGTGGGATCGAACCGTATCCCCGTGAAATGTGACTGAGCATTGGAGTTTGAGGAAGGGAAGATACAGACAGACAGACAGACAGACAGAGAGACCACCACTGTTGTCAGTTTATGGGGTAGGATTAAGGGACTGTAGTAATTGTCACGTGAATGGCGCCAGACTAATTCAATCAATTAATCCTTATTGGTGCATCAGTTGTGTGTGGACAGATCTCATCTGGTGTGCATTTACATAGCAGCTGCCCATTAAACCCCAGCTCGCAGACTCCTGGGGCGTGTTTGTTGGTGTTTCACAGTGAACCATCCCAGTGTCCATTCCCTGGCGTTAAGGCAGGTTTTATAGGGTAGTGCCTCTGAAACACTTACACACACACACACACACACCAAAGTTGTATTGCCCTGTCTCAATTCTCTTATTAAAAAAAAGTTCAGTTCAATTTGTTCATGAATAGTTTGCATCGTTATATACGATAAGATAACTCTAATAATCCTTGCATTCGATATATCGCTTTTTTCACGTCTTCGAGCCAACAACAAGGACGACAAAATTATATTTGTGTAGCGCCTTTCGCGTCGGGAGGACGTCCCAAGGCGCTGGACTTCTCAAAGCGCTTTGCAGAAAATACTGTAAAGTGAATTGACTGTATATTTTGTGGGCGAAACGCGGCAGCTAATTGCGCACAGCAGCGTCCCCACAAACCGTCGTGGTTTGAGTGACCAAATTATTATTGTTTCTCTTTTTTTCACAATTACATTGCTAGCAGTGCTAACATTGGCCGAAGCAGTACATCCCGCAAAGCGCTTTGAGATCTCTCACCTATTCGATAGTGCGTCCTCTTGACTTGTAAGACATAAATAGATGCAATGCTACATAAATCACTGCTGTGCGCAATTGTCTGCCATATTTGGTTCACAAAATATTCAGTCAATTCCCTTTACAATACTTTTTTTGAAGCGCTTTGAGGCATCTCAACGACATAATAAGGCGCGATTTCAAATGCAAGGATTATTAGTATAGTTCCCTTTGCTGCTCTTGTTTATATTTTTTGGCACCATATGAGTTCGGTCTTACTTTATTGAAGTCTGTCCTCTCTTGCGTTAAGATATAAGATGAATTTCTCAACACTTTAAGGAGTCATCCCGCTGTGACATTAGAATATTTCGGCTGCGTTAGAATGTGTTTCCATTTGACCTCAAAGCTCCCATAGGAACTCTTTAAATGTTTTGAGAACAAATTCTGCAGGAAAGTCTTTAAATTGTGTGAAATATTACAGTACCACACAGGGGATGATAGGATCTGGCAGGGTTTATTTAGCAAGTGTGGATGAATGTGGCATTTCAAGCGCAGTTGAATGAAATGGAATAGCTACTGTGAACAACGAAAGAAAGGCGCTTCTTTATACACAGTCACTACACTGCACAGTATACCCTATAAACCGTTAGCAAACGGGCTATGGATGTGAAAGGCGCTATACAAATGCCACCTTATTGTTGCTGTTGTATCAAATGACAAGGATTATGATTAAACGTATTAACACTGCATGCCCTGATTGATCAGCAGTACGTTAAAAGGAATTTTTGTCAGACGGCCTGACTCAGTGGTAGCCACTCTCACCTCTGAGTCAGAAAGTGGAGGATTCAATCTCCATGACGGTACCTGGAATCACATAGTCAAGCTGAGAGTATGCGATGACCTTAAGGCATTAAAAAAAAAACATAAAAATTACTTGGAACTGATCGGGGCTGCGGGTGTTTTTTACGTGAAGGGACTAGCTTTGGCTCAGTAAAAACAAAAAGAATAATTCTTGCATTTGATATTGAGCCTTATGTCGACGAGCCATCTCTTAAGCTCTTTGTGTTTTATTGTAAAGTGTAGTGACTGTATTTCGTAGGCAGCCACGTTGCGCACAGCAGTGTCCCACGAACAGCCATGAAGTGAGTGACCAATTGGATCTGATGGGTGGGGGAGGAGAGATTGTTGGCCAGGACACCTCTTCTCTTTTTTTAGTAGTGCCATGGTGTCTTTCAACCTAAACAGGCAGACACGACCTTGGTTTAATTTCATCCTGAACTATTGAGCTCAAAGTCCTGACGTGGATGCATATTAAACCTACAAGCCAAAAACTGGGGAAGGTGGTCCTTACTGGACAAGCAACGGGAAAGCTTGCCTGATAGTGATATCGATGGCAAGCTATGTGGTTTTAGCTGGGTTAGACTCCCAACAGTTACCCCCAAAGCACACTCTAGGCTCCCCCCAAGCCTGGGCTCTCGCCAACCTGCGCCTAATACTTTCCAGAGAGAGAGAGGAGAGAGAGAGCGAGAGAGAATATGCCATTCCAACAATCTATCTCTGGGATTTCCGTGCGCAGGTGGGATGCCTACATATCTCAGTTTAGTTTGGATACTCTTTAAAGCATGGTGTCAGAAACCCCCGGCTGACCGAAAGAAAACATATTCATCGCACGGAAACCAATGCTCTGATGAAAGAGATCCTCCCTCGGCTTGAACCATCACTATGAATAGCCCGAAGACATGGGAGTTGAGCAGAAGTAACGCAGTTTATTCCATTGTGTGAGAACCAGTCATTAAGAAACCCAAACAACATCAAAGAAGCCTCTGTACAGTATGCAGGGAGTTGGCTATAATGGAGGGAAAGAGAGCAATGGTGATTGAACTTTCCAAACTGCAACATAAACAATATTTGTCGCATGGTTTTTAAGTTAAACCGTGTTTTTACTTCTCCCCCCAGCCCCCCACCACTGTCCCCTCCCCACCCCCCCGAAAAAAAAATTGTGAGTTTTCTGAATAATTGCATTCCTTTCAAGTCCGACAAGGGCGTGAGTCTAACCTTATCCGCTCCGTCAGTGTGGAGCTCAGTATCACGTCCTCTCGAAGCTCGGGAATCTCTTATTAACTCGTTCGCCAGCTTGTCGTTAAGAACGCTTTGCAACTTTGAGGACGTAAGAAAGTAAACGAGTGTTAAGCAGAGCTGCTGCTTTTCGCGGGTCTGTTTATACTGAGCAGCTATTTTGATCTTCCCCACCGCTGCACTAGTGTTTGTTTTCAGTTAGGAAAGGGGTCAGGTATCAGTCTGTCTTGTTTTGGTTTTAATGGGGTTTCCCCCCACACCCCCCCTCAAGTATCATTCATTCGTGTTAATCACCCTGCTACGCCTCGAGTCTGCTTCTCACAGCGCTCTCACAAATGGGTAACGTTCACAACAATAATACTTGCATTAGACATCTCAAAGCGCTTTTACCATATGAAATCCATTGGAATGAAAGGGATTGTTTTTACCCCCTCCCAACAATGGGAAGGTTAACGGACGACCCCCCCCAATAGGATAAGGTAAATAGTAACTAATTCATCATTGAATGACTGGAAAACGATTATTGTTCGTCGCAACTGGCGGCCACATTCACTCACAAAATACAGTCAATCCACTCTACAATATATCCTGTGAAGCAATTATCACGTCTCAGTGATGTGATAATTGACTGCTTCTTGCCAACAAAATACACAGTCGCTACTGATACAATAAAGCCTGTGCTGGGTATTATTATGAATAATAATCCTTGCAATTGCAATAATCCTTGCATCAAATAATAATAATCCTTGTACTTTGATACAGCGCCTTCTCCCGTTGATGGGACGTCTCAAAGCGCTTCACAGAATATATAAGTGGATTAACTGTGTATTTTGTGGCTGAAGTAATAATAATAATATGCAGCCTCTATCTGTGCTATAACCTTCTATGAATATAACGTGTGCGCTCCTAATGCTACTGTTCTGTCGCTTTAACTGACAGTTAACGGAAAGGGCCTTAACATGGTTAATGAAATGCCTTTACACTTGAAACTTTTCTTTGAAAGCGGGTTTATAACCAGAGGCCTCAGAAAAGAGCAAGCAACAGTCACACTGTAACTAACCACTTATTTTACTTAATGTGTTTTTAAAAAAAGAGTTCAGCTCGTGTGTTTTGAAGTCCTTTCTGTAGACTTCACAACCAATCGAGCGCTGCTTTTTGTTGGTTGCGGTCTGTTAAGTCAATAACGTTATTCAGTTTTCTTTTACATCCTCGTTGGGTATAACTGGGGATGGGGGGGGGGAGACGTGGGGGTGGGTGGGGAGAGAGAGAGAGAGAGGAAGGATGGAGAGAAGGGAGAGGGGGAAGGATGATAAGTTCTGTGCTTAAGGCAGTGCTCAGATCAGCATTTAGACTTGGCGATCTGGGTTAAATAAATGCCTGTGTCCGCGTGTGTGCGTGTGTGTGGGGCTAGGACTTTTGACGTTAGGACTTTTAGAGTCCCGCAGCACAGAGGTTAGAGCGCTCTCTTCGCGAGTGAAAGGACCCGGGTTCGATTCCTGGGCAAAACCTTACGCAAGTAGATCCTGTGAAGCGCTTTGAGACGTCTCGACAACATGATAAGGCGCTATGTCAAATGCAAGGATTATTATTCCAGTTCTGTGTAAAAGTACAGAGGTTTAGCAGATGGCACAGCTTCAGCAGCAGAACAGGAAGGTGTGTGTGTGTGTCTGTTTGCGCGGAGAGAATAAAAGGACTTAAGAATACTAGCAGTCGTTAGGGAAATGAGTCAGGTCATTAACTGTTGTTCCCACTGTAATCAGTGATAGCTTCATTGAGAGCTGGACAGACAGACAGAAAAGCGAGACAACTACTGCTGAACTTTGTTGTTATGCTGAAACCGATATATATTGAGGCCGTCTTTCGGATGAGACGTTAAACTGACATCCCGTCTGCCTGTTCAGGTGGACGTTAAAGATCCCACGACGCTATTTGAAAAGAGAAGGGAGATTCTCTCTCCCGGTGTCCTGGCCAGTAACACCCTTAAATAAAATTGGGTCACTCACTTCAAGGCTGTTGGTGGGACACTACTGCGTCGCAAACCTGGCTGCCATGTTTCACCCACAAAATACACAGTCAAAGCCACTTTACAGTTTATTCTGTGAAGCACTTTGAGGTGTCTCGATGACCAATAAATGCATGTATTATTATTGCATTTGTTGGTCTACTCGCGTAGATCTAACAAACTGGTGGAACAGGCTGGATGGGCTGAATGGCCTCTCTCTCTCTCTCTCTCTTCCCCCTTGCTCCTGCGGGAATATACCCCTTCGCTATTTATTGGTCAGGAGGTGGTGGTGGGTTCAAACCTCAACGTTGAGACGCCACGAGATCCGATGGCAAATATTCGAGAGCGTTTTGAGATGTGGAAAAAAAAAGACAAATTGTATTGAAAAACACACGACACCTAAAACGTCGCACCTTAACCTTCTTTTCCTGCTGAACGCCTTGTGGGTCTTGTTAGTTTTTCCCGCAAGAGCCGATTGACAGCTGTTGGAAGACACCCAATAGGAAAGTGTATTTAACGGCTCGACCTGAATAATGACATTGTAAATAAAGTTGAGCCACATTCAATCTGTGCAACTTGAGAACAGGATGCTGGAGGGGGGGGCCTCATAGATTTTTGTCCCCCCCCCCCAGCTCATTTTACTGTGTCGGATAAAGGGATAAGTTTGGGTGATGTGTGCGTGTGTTTTTTTTTAAAAATATTGCTTTCCTCACTAAACTTTTTTTTTCTCGCTACTCTCTTGTCTTTCTTTCATGTTATTTTTCTCTCTCTATGCGTCTTCTCCTCCCTTCTCTCTTCCCTCTCTTCCTACCTGCCTCCCCCTCTCCCTCCCCCTCTCTTTCTCCCTCCCTTCCCCTCTCTTTCTCCCTCCCTCCCTCCCTCCCTCGTCCCCCCTCTCTCTCCATCTCTCTCTCTCTCCCGCCCTACAGATTAACCGACCACTGACCATGAAGAAGGAAGGCATCCAGACGAGGAACAGGAAGATGTCCAGCAAATCCAAAAAGGCCAAAAAATGCCACGACGGGCTGGATGAGTTCTCGAAGAGCCTGATGGAGAAAGCGAGCTCCTTCAGCCCTGCCACGCTCTCAAGACACATGTCTCCCATCGGGCACATCCCACACTTCAGCCATGCAGGCCACATGCTGTCGACACCGACACCCATGCACCCCTCGTCCGGCCTCTCCTTCGGACCCCACCATCCCTCCAACATGGTCTCCGCCATGGGATAAGCAAGACTCTGCTCTTCAGCCAACCGAGCGAAGGAGTGGAATTGGCTTTGCATTGACATTTTTCATACGAATTATATATATATATATAGAAATAACTCCCCCTTCTCTCTTTTCTCTCTCTCTCTCCCATTATCACCACCTCCCACCTCTCGCACAAACACTCCTTTCCTTACTTCCCACGCTTTACCTCCCACACCAACACCCAAGTTTTCCGATGACAAGAAGCCGACGAGATTTGGGGGACATAGGCAACCTGACGATTTTGTTGAAATAAGGCTTAGCCTTGGACAATGGGAAGGACTTCTCCTCCTCCCCCCTCCCCTCCCCTCCCACCCACCACCCCCGCTCCTCCCTGCCCCACAAAGCCCCGCAAAGATGCCGCTTTACTTACCTGGAGCTCTCGTTGGGCTGGGCGCTCCTGTGCCTCGCAGCTCAACCAGCCTTCGGCCACCATTTGTGTATAAGCCATCCGCATCACCTGTTTGTCTGTGAGTCAGTGGGACGGAATCTTGTGCTGTGTTGACGAAGACAACGACGACAACAGCAACACCGCCAGCTCGACAGACCAGCCAACCAACCAACCAGCCAGCCAGCCGGCCAGCCAGCCAGCCTAGCCTTCACTCAACTCTGCAATGTCTCGTAAAATACGCAAAGGACAATGAATCAATTGGGGCTTCTGTGTTGACTGTGATCAGCTTGCTTGGAACAGACCTCAGACTTTTGTGTGTGTGCGCGTGTGTGTGTGCGTGCGTGTGCCGCGTGTGTGTGTTCGTGTGTTTTGGGGAGGGGGGAGATGAACGCACACAAGGTTTTTGTTTTTTGGAGAGGCGATGGGGCTGTGGAACAAACACACAGTGACGGATGGAGGGGATGGGGGCGGTTGGTGGTCTATGTGGACGGTGGGGGTGGGGGGAGGAGGAGATATGGGGTTTGACTGGAGATAACCAGAGGAGCCCCCTCCAAGCTCGTAAAACTGCCGGTGGGGCCGAGAGCGAGAGAAAGAGAGAGGGGGTTGGGAGAGGGGAACGAAACGAGAGAGAGATGAAGCAAACTCCCAGCTCTGGCTGCCTCACTCACGCCCGTCAGAAATCATTTGATGCATTACCTTTGCAGACAGACCGTTTAGCTGAGCTGCGTAGGAAGTTCTGTCAGTTCCAGGCTATCAGTGTTATACACGGATATTGCCTAGAAGAACTCTGGACAGCAATTGTCCTTGGCTGAGATGTATTGTGAAACAAGTTCCTGTAAACTGTTGTTTTGTATGTAAGTAATCCAGGCTACTAGAAAGGTGTAGGAAGAATTATTTGATTACATGCTATACAAACTGAACGGTTGTATAATGTCTTAAAACGGAATAATAATTGCTAGTGTAAAAAAAAAAGACTGCTGAAGTTTTTTTGGGCTCCATAATATTATTATTATAATTATTATTATTATTAATTTTCCTCTTTTTTTAATATAAAAAATAAACTTTAGATTTTAATTTTTTTTCATTGTTGTTGATGATCCTAATGTGGTTTATGCTTGACAGGTTTCTCTCTTTCCTTCTCTCTCTCTCTCTCTTTCTCTCTCTTTCCCTCCCCACCCCCCCCAATTTTTTTTCGTTCTTTTGGTTTGGTTAAGAAAAAGGTTTGGATTGCTTTCTGCGCTCACAGTATATGTGCTCGCAAATTTCCCCCCTTTTAAACCACACAAAAAAGATATTCATAAGCTCTCACATATGTGCAGGATAAACAGTAAACCTCACGTAAGTTGCATCAGTTGGGACCATATATTTAATATGACTTATGCAAAGTATGAGTTATGTCAAACTTGCATAGAATATAAACTCTTAAATAGGACTTTGGCAGATGTGCGGCTTAGACGATTATACGATTTGTACAGATCAAAAATGATGTATAAAAAATGACAGCGTCATAATAATCCTTGCATTTGATATAGCGCCCTCTCACATTGTTGAGACGTCTCAAAGCGCTTCACAGGATATACTGTAAAGTGAGTGGAACATGGCAGCCGATTGTGCACAGCAGTGTCCCGCAAACAGTCATGGACTGAGTGACCAAATTATTATCCGAGGGTTACAAAATACAGCGATTCCTGACCGTCTGATTACAAAGCTTCCAGCCCCTTAGCAAACTCCCATCGCTTTCCAGAACCTGTCTCCTTTTTGCAGCAATTTCCAAAGTGTTTTTTAACTTATTTTTATTCCGTGCTCAACTTTTAACCCGCTGACGTTCTTTTTTTTATATAAAGTTTTTTTTATATATATAAAAAAATAAAAATTACAAAAAAAAATTGATTTCAACCTCCTCCGCTTTATTTTCAAGCATCCCCTCTCTTCTCCCTCCACCACCACACCCCCTCCCCCACCTCCCAACCCCACCTACCAATTTATATGGGAAAAATAATCAAACTTTTTATTTCCGCTTTTCAACCTCCCCATCCCATCGCTCTCTTCTACCTCAACCCACATGAAGTTAATAAAAGGGACTAAATAAAAAGTGGCAAGGGCTCATTAAAGTCAACACATGTGTGATACTTAACAAGCCAGAGAGAGGGGGAGTGTATGTGTGAGAGAGAGAGAGAGAGAGAGAAAGAAAGGGGATCGCAAATGGGCTGATCTTTTAAATACAACCCCCTGATGTTATCAGTGAGCCATCCAAACTCTTGTGTTGGTGCTATGCACCAAGGGTCACCTATAATAATAGCACAGGGCAGACATAAAGTCCTATATCCATCTTGCCTTGCAGTAAAATATCTTGTGTTTTTATCTTGACGGCTGTTTCGAAACGATTCACCATTGCACCTCTCGTTTTTTTTTAATCTTTTTTTTCTCCCTCTCCTCCCCTACCTTGCTCCCGTCTTCCCCCCCACCTCCTCCACCCCCCCCCCCCGCGCCCCACCGCCTCCTCCACACCACCCTCGCTCCCTCTTCCTCTCTGTTGTAAAATAATTGCTGTCTTATGTATAGTTTTCGAGGTACTGATGAGGCCAAAAAAAGAAAACGAATGATGTGCAATATGCCGTAGAGAACTGGCAGTGTAGGCTAATGTAAAAGGTTCTAAGTTATTTGTACTTTACTGCAGTACCTTTCAGTTGTGGAGCTTTTAAGGATACAGTATTTTCTTTTTTTTTCTAGTAAAAGTAAGTTATTGGTGAATAGATATTATCTGACCTCTGTTCCTATCCCCTGTAAAGAATGGATAATACTATGCTACTTGCATTAATAAATGAACACAAAGAAACATATGGGTTTGAATCAGTATGTCTGTGGCTCTCAAATACTTGCGCCTGTTTAATAATAATTACAATAATTGCTCCTTACACATGGTACTTCTCTTTTTTGAATAGTGCCACGCCATCTTTAAAGCTCACCCTGAACAGGCGGGTTTTAATGGCTCATCCCAATGATGGCACCTCCGAAAATGCAGCATATCCCCAGGACTGCATTAAAGTGTCAGCCTGGACTATGTGATTCCAAGGCCTGATACAGGGCTTGAACCCACAACCTTCTGACTCGGAGGCAAGAATACCCTTAACTGAGTCAAACTGACACCTAAGGTTGAGTGATTTAAGTTGAGTAAGTCCAATTATCAGCATTTTGAGGGGGGAAGAGGTTCGGGGGAAGAATTTCCACCCTGGGTTTAGATGTACAGCATTTTGCATTTCAGCGCATCCAGAAGTTTGCAAATCCCTTAAATGGTAGTCTTCAGCTTAGAGATAACGTTGTGTTAATATTTCTTGACGAACCACAGAAATCCGGCTTCAAAGCTCAAGATTGAATTCAACAATTTGCCAAATACTGGATGTGAGGCAATCCGCACATAACTAATGTCCCACAAACAGCCGTGAAATAAATGACCAATTTAACTGGAGGATTGTTGTCCAGGACGCTGGGAGAAACTTTCTTTACTAACAAGGATTAAGGGATCCATAACGCTCAACTAGACACGCAGACGGGAGTTCGGATTATTGTATATCCATAGAATGACAGCTTCACGGATACTATTGTAAAGTGGATTGACTGTACTTGCAGGCGAACTCACCAGCCAATTTTGCTCGCAGCAATCTCCCAAAACAGCCATGATCGGTTTTATCTTAAAACTTAATGCAATAAACATTCTTTTTTAAAAATGACATTGCCTTAAATAATATTTGAATCCAGGGACAACCCAGCTTCTATATTCCAATATTCTGTGTAATAATAATAATAATAATAACAATGCTTGAATATGGTCCAGCACTTTATCACGTCATTGAGCTGTCTCGAAGCACTTCACAGAATATATTGTAAAGTGAATTGACTATATTTTGTGCGTTATATTATATTATACTGCATTATATTATAATATAGTATAATATATTATATTATACAGCAGCATAATTGCACACAGCAGTTTCCCACAAATAGTCGTAGATTGAGTGACCACGCTATTAAAATATATTTTTATTTAATAAATGATTTTTGGAGGGGTAATTACCTCGGAAAAGCGATCCACCAATTGACTAACAACTGGGTTCCTACTTACTGCTGGGTAAGCAGAGGCGTGAGGAGTAAGAAAACTTGCCTAAGATTTCGCCCTGCCGGGAATCGAACCCGGGTCCTCTCGCTTGCGAGGCGAGTGCTTTAACCATTACCCTACAGGTGTTTACCATCAGGTGTGCATAGTTTGTAACGGTAGAGGATTCCAATGTGGGGTGAAAGGAGGGCAGTGAATGGGAGTTGGTTTTCAAGACCGACAGGAAATTGCTCAGTAGGATATAATTATTTGAATAATCACAAATGATCTATTTTGACAGCTAAAGCTAAACAGCTGTGTAAACCTTTGTGCAGCCTGCCATTGGAACAGTTTATTAACATTTTACTTGACTTTTTGAACAGTGCCAATGGATATTTAACGTCCACCTGAACACGCAGACAGGCCCTTGGCTTAAAATCTCATCTGAAGGATGTCACCTCCGACAATGCAAGATACCCTTGCACTGAATTGGAGTGTCAGTTTAGACTTATATGAGGTTCGAGCCCTGACGTGGGGGCTTGAACCCACAACCTTCTGGCTCAGAGGTGCGAGTGCTACCGACTGAGCCAGGCTGGCAACTTTATAATCGAAACGCTTTGAGAAAACCCAATGCGACACAAAATTAAAGCTATACAGCACCTTTCATGTTGGGAGGACGTCCCAAGGCACTTAACGATCCTGGCTTGACATCTGAGTTGGGAATAACAATATAATAATAATAATCCTTGTATT